TGCTTTACAAAAGGTTTTGAGATTGCTTTTATTAACTTTTTCTTCTGTTTTAACAATATATTTAGTTAATATAGAGGAAAACGGCATATTTGAAATTATTTAAAAAAAAATCTTTTGTGGCTTAGCGCAGACCGGCGGACATTGTCCCAGACAACTTAAAAATGGTAGACACGTCCCAATTGACAATGGTAATATGGGACATGTGATCAGATGAAAATCCTAGACATGTCCCAGAATGTTCGTGTCCGCTCAATTTCGGCGGACAGTGTCCGGTGTACAACACTGCTTATTCGTACAATATGATACTACAAAAGAAAGTAAAAGAAATCTTTTAAGGTAATCTCATTGATACTTGATAGACTTGAAAACATCACAGTGTGTCCGATCATATTTGTTTACTATTCAATAATATTTGATTGGAAAATTATGCAGATTAGCGGATATGCAGATACAAGAAAGACATATTGCATCGTCACACCTTTTAAATAAAAATGGAATTAATGGAATTTTGTTTTGTATTTGAATCATTCATTCTAATTAAATGCTTTAGTTTGCATGAAAACTTTTTCAAAACTTCAAAAATCAATTTCTGAATATTATCAAAGTTTCTGTATTCATAATACAGTATTTCTGAAACTTGTAAAAACAGAATATGGGTAAACTTGAAGATGACCTCACTGAACTCAAGAAATGTTACGATAATGATTTAATGACTAAGCAAGAGTATGATTATGCTCGTAGACATAGACTTGGTGAGTTAGGAGAGAGCTTTATTTTATTCAATACCTTTACGAGACTAATAATTGACTTGTCTTATTTGCAGACCTCAAAGCAGCAGATAAATCATGGTGGAAAAATTTCTCAAACGTTACCATAGTTCTATAGCAGGCATGATTGATTCCATCCTTAGTCTTTTCACTGGACAAAAATTAATCAAAAATTAACAGAAACCCTGTACTATTTCTTTACAATAATCAAATAACAATATCTTGGCTATTTATTAATAAAATTTTGTAACTGTGATCCTATTATTTTTTCTCGTTTTAGTTTAGAACATGCAATAATAAATCTAAATTTTTTTTGCGTGTATAGAATAATAGGGCATTTATGTTTTTTTTTTATTAGTTGCAATATATAAATTTATTCTCTTCAACTGCGTATAATTTAGAATCCACAAAACGAATCACTTATATTTTAAGTATAATCCTGTTAAAATTGCCATAAATTGTTATAAACTGCTTATACACTTGCAAGGATGGTTAAACCTGTATGAAGTCCTATCAATTGTGATATAGATAAAGTACAAAACGTTAAGAAGTCAACGTTACAATATGATTATGAAATACCAAAAATGTGATGCTCTTGTATTCAAGTCCCATTTAAAAAGTTTCTTAGAGATAATCCAAAGTACTTTTTTGAGAATAATTATATCAACTTAACGGAAGATATATCTAAATAGGAAATATGAAAGTGGATTACAAACTTTTTATATTTACTGCACTGTATGTGATTCATTAATATTTTTTTAATAAGGCATTAATACAGACATGCAAATGAACGCTTGAGTAGATGCATATATAAAAATAATATATCATTAGCAGAGACTGAAATAAAGAGCCTCCATTTGCATAGTCACTTTTCTGCTCAGAAAAAGATAGTAAACAGGTATCAATGACATGTCTATCATGTAAATAGTAGCATTGATAAGTGTTTAGTCTCTATACAAGAGAAATATGACAAAATAGCTCTTCATGATAAACTTTTCTATTTCTAAAGATAATTTCCTGGAGAATAAAAACAAAAAGAGGGATTGGATTGATCCTTCATTACTACAAAATATGCAACATAATGCAGAATATCTGAAATGTTCTTTTCAGACTATAATTCTGTACGAAGAAATGCAAATAGGAGATAAACTTAATATTATTTGACCGAATATTAACATTATTTATCTTAACTTTATTTATAACTTATCTATAATATAATTTAATTTTTTTTGTGAATAGCTATATATCTGTATATATGATCACCTAATAAAATTGTAAAATGTATTACTTATATAATTAAAAATTATTATCTGCCTATTCTGGATTAGAGTTTATGATGTTTATCTAATCCATAACCATTTTAATAAAGTTTTTTTGAAAAGTTTAAGAAGATTAATAAAGCGATATTAAGAGTTCTTAATTTTTAAATACTGTAATTATGGTTTTAAAAATTTCTACATAACAGTTTTATAGGAATTATAAAAAGAGACCTGAATCTTTGGTAAAACAAGTTTTGGAGTAAGATTATTAAACAAAATCTAAAGGTTTTGCAAGTCATATAAATAGAAAAAGGTAAAATTTAATGAAATTATATTAAGAATAAATATAAATATCGTAAGAATGATTATTTTATTTATCACTTAATATATAAAATATATGTTATGCTATTAAATTATATTATGCAATGATCATTATATATCATCTATTAAATAAAATTTTTGCTAAGCAATGACGAACAAAATCGCCTATATATATTTTATTAATTGATTATAATAAAAGTTTAAATACAGGTATATTTTCATGATAAATTAATATACATAATTTTACTAATGCTCTGAACAGTTCGGTTCAGTCCAGATTATAGGCCAATCCAAAACTGAACTGAAAATTTCAGTTCAGTTCAGTTCAGATTATAAATCTTAAAAATGACAATCTGAAATTAAACTAAACCGTAAACTGGTAAAAATCTGAACTGAACTGAAAATATCAGATTAATCCAAAATTTTGGATCATTTGGAATGATCCTTTTATTGTTCTTTTGAAATGATAATTTAATCGTTCTAATCAAACAATTTTTTTATTGTTTGTTTAGAACGATAACTTCAATCATTCCAAATAAATGATTTTTTTATCATTCAATTGGAATGATAATTTAATCGTTCTAATCGAACAATTTTTTTATCATTCGTTTAGAATGATAACTTCAATCATTCTAAATAAACGATTCTTTTATCATTCTTTTGGAACGATAATTTAATCGTTCTAATTGAACAATTCTTTTATCGTTCATTTGGAACAATAACTTCAATTCGTTCCAAATGAACAATTTTCTTATCGTTCATTTGAAATAATAATTTAATCATTCCAATTGAACAATTTTTTTATTATTCGTTTAGAATGATAACTTCAATCATTCTAAATGAACAATTTTCTTATCGTTCATTTGGAACGATAATTTAATCGTTTCAATTGAACAATTTTTTATCATTCATTTGGAATGATAACTTTAATCATTCCAAATGAACAATTTTTTTATCGTTCATTTAGAATGATAATTTAATCATTCCAATTGAATGATTATTTTATCGTTTGTTTGAAATGATAACTTCAATTATTCCAAATGAACAATTTTCTTATCGTTCATTTGGAATGATAATTTCATCATTCCAATTGAACAATTTCTTATCGTTCGTTTAAAACGATAACTTCAATCGTTCCAAATGAACGATTTTTTTTATTATTCATTTAGAATGATAATTTCATCATTTCAAACAATCTGAAATTTCAGATTAATTCAAAATTTTCAGTTCAGTTCAGATTTTATTCAGTTCAGATTAGATTTATAATCTGAAAAAAATGTGAACTGAACTGAAAATTTTCAGATTGAAATTTTTGCAATTCGAAACTAAACTGAAGTTGATCTGAACTGAAAATTTTCAGATTAATCTGAACTGTTCAGAGCTTTAAATCTTACTTTTATTTTTTATTCTCATACATAAATAATACACATCTCTCTTTCACTTTTATTTTTTCTTTTTAATTTTTTTCTTTTATCACAGTATGGATATATCAAATGAATTAAATTTTTCTAATAAACCTACTAGTGATAAAAATAAAGATTGTAGTAATAAAGTTTACAATATTAGTATTTAAGAAAATTTGGATAACAAACATCTTTTAAGATAGCTACTGAAGATATTAGTCTTAATTTAACTTTTTTATCTTGGAAAGAAGCTGAATTATTTCTTAAGAAATATTAATATTATAATAGTTTTACTATAAATAAATATCAGATGACAAGAAATAAATCAAATCAAATAATTACAAAAAGAACATTTATGTATAAATTTAATGGTAAATTCAGGTTAAATAAAAAAGAAGTTACTGAAAATAAAGAAATACTAGAGTGAGTATTTATGGTATTTAAATTTAACATTTTCAGTAAATGTCATGTTATTACTATTAATTTATTTATAAATGAACATAATCATAAGTTAAGGTCAGTTACCAGTAAATTTAGCAGTAAATATAGAGAATTATCAAAAAAGATTATGAATAAGATTAAAATAATGATTAAATATAGCAATCTTTTTATTACTGTGTAATGTAATCCATTAAAGGATTAATTTTCAGATATTAATTATACAGATTCAGACTTATCAAATACCATATAAAAATTTAAAATTATTAGCAATAATAATATATATAATGCATCTGATTTTCTTACCAATTTTATGTAAAAAAAAAAATCTAAACTTTTTCCTCAAATTTAAATTTAATACTAACAATTATTTTGTGAGAATATTTAGATGACATCTGACTAAATTGTTTTATGGATTAAATATTATGATATAATTATTAATGACAATATAATAAAAACAAATATATATAATATATCATTAAATTTATTTATTAATATAAATAATAATAGATGTACAAGACTTTTTATACAAAATATAATTAGTTATAAGACATTTGAAACTTATCAGTAGATTTTGCAATATACATTTCAAGCAATTCAAATACAAATAATAATGTTTTTTACAGATACTGATCTAGCAATAGATACTGTAATATCTTTTTAATTTTCTAATAGTTATCACGCATATTGCATATATCATATTAGTCAAAATTTGATAAAGAACTTAAAAGTCAAATTAAAAAATTTGTTATTAGAAAATTTTATAAATGCCAAAACAGTCTTTATAAAATCTTATTTTTTATGATAAACTAATTTATTAGAAAATTTTCCAGCAGCTAATGATTATCTTCTTAAAGTATTATAACTAACAAATAAATTATAAATATAGTGTTATTTAAAACAGCTAACATTGAAAGTACTTTTAAAGTTGAAGGAATAAATACAATTATTAAAAAAACTGTTAAAAGTAACTTTACTTTATATTAACTTGTTAAATAATTATCTAAATAACTTATTTTATAAGTTCAATAGGACAGATTTCATGAATATTGATCTTCAATTATCAGTTCAATTTTAATATTTATAAGTAAAGTTTTTTTTCATTCATAATTAATATTCTGAAAAAATACTTATGTTAAAATACTTTAACCATTATCAAAGTAAAAATAGCATAATATTTATATTTATAAACAAATACAGTTTTATTTCTTAATTAAATCTTATTCAAAAATAGGTAATTATTACATTTAGATTTAGAATTAGAATTAGAGATAAGGGTTTAGGATTAGTTAAATTAAGGTTAGAAGTTAAGAATTAAAGATTAGAGATTAAAGTTAGAATTAAGAAAGGTTTGTTAAGAAAAAACCTGCAAGCAAAGTAAGCAAAAAATGATGTTAGATTAGAGTAAAGACAATTAGCTTATGTTAAGATTAGATGATTAGGTATAGAATAAAATTAAATTTAAGATTACACTAATTGTAATTTTTATTATTAGAAAATAAAAGATTTTATCAAAAATCATTATAATGCATAATAAATTACTTTATAATTAATTATTGATAAAATTGATAAAGAAGAAGTCAAAGAAATCTGAAAGATTTATGATATTCGTACTAGAAGAAAAGATCATATAAAAATTTTGCTATTAAAATTAAGTTATAAATATAGTAAATCATAATTTGTAATGTGATTTTAATAGCTTACCTTCCATATTTATTATATTATAATTCCAATGAAATATCATTTTTATATATATGTGTAACTACCATATCAAAAGGAATTATATACTGATATTATTCTCATATAATGATATTTTCAAATATCACAGCATTTTATATTTCAATACTTCTAGAAAGATGGTATCAAAATACTTATTAAGAAAATTTACTAGTACAAAAAACTGGTCTAATTTTTGTCAATAAAACAAAATATCTAAAGATGACTTAAAACTAACAACTTTAGCTTATAAAATTACTATTATCCTTAAGACTGTATCTATAATGAAGAAAGTTATTAAAATAAGAATAAGATATAGTAAATTATAGAATATAGCTAATAAAACTACTTTATTTATATTAGAATCTAATAATTATAAAATGGAATTGATATTATAAGATTATATTAATAAAAAGAAATGAAACTTGATTTGAGTTTAAAAAATAATGAAAATTAAAATTAGAATGTGAGTTTAGAAAAAAATGAGAATGAAAATTAAGAGATAAATTTAAAACAGAATAAGTAAAATAAAATAGAAATACTTTTTATTAATGAATTAATTAATGATAATTATGTACTTCAAAAATTTACAAATATTCAAAATCTATCAAAAGTTAAAACTAAAGGTCATTCTTCAACTTAAAGATATAAAAGTTGTACTGAACAAAAAAAAAGAGAAGATAATAATATGAAAAGTACTAAAATACTTATAAATGTCATGTATATAAATAGCCAGATTATAATGTGATATTTCATAAGAAATAACAAATTTAAAATAAAATATATTATATTATTATATAGTTTATAATTACAGTCAACTCTTGTTATAACGAACTCTATGTCCTAGACCTCAACTTCGCTATAAGGCTATAGTGAAGATTTTAAGAGATTTGATTGGCCAATTCGCTATAACAAGAGTATTTTTATTATATTTGTTCAAAAAATTCGTTATATCAAGAGTTCGCTATAACAAGAGTTGACTGTATATATATAAATAAAGTTTATTTTTATAATAAGGTCTTTTTTATAAATAATATCATTTTTATTAATAGAATTAATAAAATTAGTATCAAAAAATATGTTTATTACAAGAGACATAATTGTTTATCACATATATTAATAAATAGTATTTTAATGTATTAAAGAATTTTTTTATTATTTTTAGTATTATAATTTATAAATCAGATTATTATATAATATTATTTAATTAATCAATAATAGTTTACATTATTTTAATGAATAATTCTCTCTTTTTTTATATATTTTATTTTTTTTCTTTAATTAAATAAAAGTATAATGGCTAATATTACTTATTTAAATTCATTTTATATTTGGCAAAATGTTTAAACTATAGTTTTATTATTTTTTTTATTAAGGTTTAATATAGTTTTACATTTTATAAGCTTGATATAATTTTACCTTTTTAAAATATCACATATTTTTTAATAAATTTAATATAATTTTGTTAAATTTTATCTTTTACCATTTAGATAACTTGTAAAATCTCTATAGTTTTATTTAATAACCTTAATAATAACTTTTTTAACTTGATTAATTTTTATATAAAAAAAATTTTTAAATAAAAATATAATAAAAATAATTTATATTTATTGATTAATTTATATCATCAATATTTATTGTTAAATATAAATTAGCATTCATTTTTATTTATTATAAAATTTATTTTAAATTGTAATTAAATACCTATTATATAATATATAAAAAAATTATATTTAATTTGTAAAAATGAATTTAATTTGCATTAGTATTTTTATTTAATAATAATAACTTATAATTAATATATAATTTGTACAATTTATTTAATTAAAAATAGAAGAAAATTTTATATATATTACTAAACTAATTTAAAAATAAAGAAGAAACTTTTTATACATATGACTAAATTATTCAAAAATAAGAAAGGAAATTTCTTACAAAGGAAGCTAAAATAATCTCTAAAAGAAATAAGAATATTCTAAATTAAAAGTTAAATAATGCACAAATTAAAATCACAAATAATTTGTAAAAATTAAAAGTAAATATGTTTTGCAATTTTACTAAGTATTATTAGATATTTTAAAATTTCAATTTTATTATTTGATAAAAATAATATAATTTAAGAATTTGTAGTTAAAACTTTTATCAAATTAAAATTAATTATAAAAATAAAGGTAATTTTATTAATTATTTCTTTGATAATATCTAAAATAATAATAATAACAATATTATTTATAATAATTCACTTATTTTATTCATAAACGTTAAATTTTAATAAAAATATTCCTATAATAAATAAAATTGCTAGATATTAGTATGGATGTTAAAGTTTGTGTTCAGATTGATCTGACTTTAGTTTGATTATAGAATCAGTTTCAGTTTAATTTAAGAATCAAATTGAACTGAAACTGAACTGAATCGAACCAATTTTAGACTAATTTAGATAATCAATCTATATAAATGCTATATCGTATAAATTGTAAGACGTATTGTTCATTTTAATTAGAATAATTTTTATTTTATATTATTGATTGTATTGCACAATATCTAACAATGTAAATTCAAATGAAAATGATAACAATTTCTCAGATATTTCTTTAACTTTTTAGCAATTGAAGAAGATTTCAATATAAAACTCATAAGTCAGATGTATGATAATTATTTTTAAAATTTAAGATGAAGAAATTAGACTAATAACAAATTATAAATACATATTATGTATTAAAATTTATTTGTCTAACCGTTTAACAATCTAACAACTACCTTTTGAAAATATTTAACTAAAATATATTCATTATATTATAAAAACTAAAAATCATTAAATTACTTTGAATAAAATATACTTTAAACCCTATTCTTTATCATAATCTAACCCTATCACAAATTCATTGATTGATTTTATTATACCTGATTTACAATCTTTTTCTATTATTAAAAATACTGAATTCAAATTGTTTATTATTAAGTTAAATTCTCAATTTATTTTACCATATAAACAAACTTTAAAAGAAAAATTTGTAAAAATTATGATACAAAAAAAATGATTTAATAGGCAAAATTTACAAATTAATTCAAAAATATCTCTCCTAATAGACATATAAACATCAGATCTAAAAGATTGTTATCTTGAAATAACAATTTATTATATTAATAATAATTGGGAATTAAAGAATTTTTTGCTTGATATAATTACAAGTAAACTTTCACAACTTTTTAAAGAATTCAATATTAGTCAGAATATTCTTGTTATAATAGTATGTGATAATTAATTAGCAACTAAATTAGATCAAGAATTTAATAATATATTTTTATTAATTTTGATGTATTACTCATATTATCAATTTGGTAGTAAAAGCTGGAATGAAATATATAAGATATGAAATCAAAAAACTTTATCAATTTATTGTTAAATCAAAAAATTCACTACTATTATTGAATAATTTATTAGAAATTTGTATTATTAGAAAGATTAAATTTTTAAAACTTAATTTTAGATATAGATATGTATTAAAATTTTACATATTTGATGATTACTAGACAAACTTTAATATAGAATATTTCTGAATTACTTGTAACAATATATTCTGAAGATCTTGATAATCTTTTTCTAATAATTTCTGAATAGAGTCGTATTAAGGTATTTATTATTTATTATTTTATTATTATAATTAATTAATTATTTATTTATTTTATACTTATTATTTATCTTAAGAATTATCATTAATTTTATAACCTATATGAAGCAATACAGTTATTATTATTATTATTAAATCTTACACAAGGTGATATATAATTAGTTTTTATTAGAATGTTTAAAAAAATTGAAATAATATTAAAGAAGTGGTCATTATATACAAAAAGAAATAGTATCAGCTATTTATAACAAATTAAAAAATATTAAAATGACATTTAAATTATACTTCTACAATTTCTTTAGTATTAAATCCATATTATAAAATTACATTATTTGAAAATAATGACTTAGTTGAAATTATATAATATATATTTTCCCTTAAATTCAAATAAATTCAAAAAAAAAATTATCATTTTGGGATTACTTTCTTAATTTGCTGAATCAAAATAATTATCAAAAAATGACATGTGATAAATTAGATAGATATTTAAATTTTTCAGTAGATAGTGATACCAATTTTTTAATTTAGTAAAAAGTTCATGAAAAAGATTATCCTATATTATCTTAAATAGTTAAAAATTATTTATCAATTCAAGTGATATCAGTTCCATCAGAAAGAGCCTTTTCAATTTCAGATTTAACTATTTCAAAAGTTAGAAACAGGTTAAATCCTAAAACAGTAAGAGTAATTATTTGTATAAAGTATTAGATTTAGAAAAGAAAGATAGTAGAAGATATATAAATTTATATTAAAATTATGGAATAAATAATAAAGCGAAATTATTTCAGATTAAAAGCTTGATAAGAATAATGTTTTGGTAATAATAGATTGCAAAAAAAACATTTTTTTTTTATAATTTAACCTTTTTTAGTTTATTTTATTAGTTCAGAGCATAGCGAAAGACTATTATAGTTTAGGCTCAGTGATATAAAATATCATTCTATCTGCCTGCTTGATCTATGAGACGATGATATTCAGTTACTGTATTTATCAGTGTTGCTCGTAATCATTTCCCAAATCTTATTAAATTTATTTAAAAACTTTTTGCATTAAAAAAAAAATTTTGCTTTATATTTTTTTTTTTATTTGTATTGCCTTTTTTTTGAGAAATGTGAATTAAAATAATATTTTGATGCTTTGTTCCTATTTTTTTTTAATGCTTCGTACTGTTATGTTAAATTGTGTCTTCTTTCGGTATTAATGAAACTAGTTGTTCTTCTTCGAGCTTCCTTTCTTGTAACCTTCACAAGTTCTTTATACAAAGCAACTTTTTGAACGTGAATTATTTGAAGGAGATATCATTTAGTGAATAGACGCGTGATATTGCGATGAAAGAATTTTTTTACATTATATTCTCAGAATATTTTCTTCACATCTCCGTCACATCCTCACGTCTTTCACACTTTGGACTTTACAACAGCCTTTACCGTTCCCTAGTTATAATAAAATTTTAGATTGAAAATGTTATATTGCACAATTTTTTTTAGAAAAAAAGAAAAAATGTACTTTAAATTGCTTTTAGATATTATAATATATTATATATATAAATTCCAATCTAAATTTCAGTCTAAACTCCAGTTTTAAATCAATCTACAAACTAATACAGTTTGATTTTACCTCAAACTGATAAAATTAAATTGAAATCAAACTGGTTAAACTATTAATATCTTTAGATATTAGTAAAGTTATTTTTTAAATTATAAAAAAAATATCCTTTTCTTTTTTACAAAATTTATCAAAAATTGACCCTAAGGTTTTATTATAAAAAAGAAATAAAAATTTTAGCTATTGTCATTTTTTTTATATTTTATTAAAGAATCTTAATAGTTTATTAAAATTTAAAAAATTTTTTAATATATATATATATATAATATTTATATATATAACTTTAATATTTAATTTACTTTATAAATTTAAAAAATAATATAAAAAATAAATCACTAATCCTTCTTTTTAATAGAAAACTGATTATTATTTATAAAATAATAAATACTGGTTTAGAAATTCAGAAAATTATTAAGTTTAAAATCAAAAATATATATATTTTTTAAAAAATATTTTATAATAATTTTTTATTATATATTGCATAATAGTTTACAATACTTATATAAACATACATATTTATAAATTAATTTATATAATAAATATCACTTATTTGATCAATTAGATGTATATCTTGAATCTGTAATAGATAACGCTAATAATTACTATATTAAAAAGGCATAATATTATCTATTATAAATATTACATTTTAATGTTTAAGAATACTTAGTTTATTTAGATTATTTATCATTCCCTTATTTGTCATCTAATTAGCGTAACTTGTCACAGATTATAGATATACTAAATAAACTTTACTTTTTTCTATATTACTCTCTTACTAATAATCAAATCTATAATTCTATACTAGTTAACTTAAAAATCTGCTTAATAATTGAATTGATACTAATTGGTATTTACAATTTATATAAAAGTCTAGATAAAACATGAATTTTTTAGTTAATTAGTTTAATAGTTTATTTAAGATCTATTCTAAGTCTCTTAATAATAGTTTTTTAGCCAGTATAAAGTAAAAGACTTAAATCAATTACATAAAATTGATTATATTAATATAAATATTTTTAATTAAGATTACTTCATACTTAATAAATTATCAATTATATTATGAAAAAAATACTATAGTAATAAATTAGATTAAAAATTTATTATAGGATTAGATTGAATTAAAGATGGTTCCTATAATTATTTTCAAATTTTAATTGAGTTGCAACTTAATTGCGCTTTAAGAAAATTTAATTGCATTACAAGTTGCAACTCAATTGCGCTATTTTTTTTAATTGTGATGACCATCTTTAAATTGAATCTTTAAAGATTTTTATAATTACAAAAAATTTTGTCAAATTATAGTATAGTTAAGAATTTTAGTTTCAAATTTTTATTAAAAAAAATTTAAATTAAAATAATAAAGAAAAATAAGACATTATTAAATTTTGATAAACTAGCATAATAAATATAACTAATAACTGATTGTATTTGTGAAGATTATTTTTAGGTAAAAGATAAGAATTTTCTTTTGAAATATAGACAAATGTAATTGTATTAAATAAATTGCAGTACATAAAATTAGATTATATGTTTTTTTTCAAGAAATGCGTAATTGCTTGATAGTAATTGTAGTGTGTATTCTTTAAATCTAAATATTAAATTAATAAATTGATTAAAATGTTTAAAAAATTTAAGACAAATTGATATTACAATCCAAAATTTGACATCAAGTGCAGTAAAAATTTATATTATATAATAAAATTATGATTGTATTATATACAATCATATAAATTAAAAGTCTATTTTTTAGATTTAAAGTAAAAAATGTTTAAAATTAATTTATAAATTGAGAGAATAGTTACCAACTATTTGATAAAATATACTTATATTTAATCTTCATTATAAAATAGCTATTAATTATAAATTTTTTATTGTTGTATTTACTCTCAAAATTAAAACAAATTCTTCCACTCTGTTGATTTTTTTAAATCATAACCTATATATAAAAAGTTTTAAAAAATTTTATTTTGATAAAAAGGAGAAAGGATTTTTTTTTATTCTATATTGATATTTTCACTAAAACCAATATATATTCTGATCACCTTTATATTTTGTTTTCATATTATAAATTTACTGTAAATAAACTTTGATAGAATTAATATCATTTTTACTACACCAAATTTCTTAATCAGAAAATTTGATAATTAAATTCCAAAATCATAATAAAAAACTTTGACAATTTATTTATTAATATTAATATTAAAAATTTTAATTTTTTTTGTATTTTCTAAATATTTAATATATGATTCTATATAAAAGACTGAAAAAAAAAAAATCTATATTTTAAGAGTTGGATTAGAAATGATTATTAAACCTTTATGAAGCTCTTTAAGAGTATTAAGCATTGGATTGTTATAAGGAAAAAAAGAAATGAAATAGTTTAAAGACGAAACCTATATTAAAAAGAAATAAAAAGTTAAATATAGGTTTCCTTTTATCATTGCAATGTAATTAATATACATACCCATTTGGCTAACATAGGCGACCATACTCTTATCTCTTTATCTGTTGAGCTTGGATCAGGATGTTTAAGATAAGATGGTCCGTATTGTTGAAATATACTGTTTCCTAAAACAGTTCTTAAGTATTTGAAAGATATAAACTGTTAATTAATATACAGAACTATTACTTAAAAGATTACAATAGAAGAATATATACCCAAATAGTAGACTAGCCAATTGAAGCCAATTTTCACCACTTTTGATCGTTGCATAGTATACAAGTTGATCAACAATGTACAAATATTGAAATTCAAGGTCAACCATTTTCTTTTTATCCTATTTAATTTCAAAGATTAAATCTTGCAAGAACAAGGGAAAGTAAATATATAACATTATTTATTACCTCATCATTGGTCTCAGCTGTAGCAAAAAGTTGCGTATTACTGTTAAAATTACTTAAAAAGCGAACAGTGTGATTTTCGAGAATACTGTAAGTATATGATGATTTATAACCAGATGCTAACTGAATAATAAAAATAAATTCAAATAAGAATTAGTGTTACCCAGGATTTTGTATAAAACAAATAACCTTATTCTGAGACATACTTGAAAACTTGAGATATGACCAAAACTTATTCTTAAAGGAACCCAATAATTTTCAGAAGGTCGCTTTTTATTATAAACGGTCACATTTTCTTGTATATATTTTTCCTGTAAATTAGATCAAAATAATAATAATAATAATAATAAAATTAGATGCCGTACTATATGAATTTTCCATTTAATAAATACTACTGTTAAAATGGAAAACTCACCCTTCGAACGCTTTCGGCATTCTTAATCAAAGACTTTAAATTAGGTCGTACCAAAACGTTATGAAATGATTTTGGAGCCACTTCTTTGACATCATTGCATAGTTCCAAATTGAAATACATCGTGTCATTAATAATTTCATACTCCAAAGGTTTATCAAGTAAATTATTGATTTTTATTTCGCGAAATTCCGGATTAAACTGTAAGTTCCATTCATCATCCTCCTTATTATTAGGATCGCGACGCCATATTTTGCCTAAGAGTAAATAAATATAAATATTAATCATTAAAAAGATATTATGAATTTGAGAATTAAACCATAAATGTACCCATAAAAGCCTCCATATCATTATAATCAACATGTAAAGATGGCGTTCTACATTCTGCATTAAGTATTAAAGTTTGCTGATAATCTTTTACAAGTCTACAATTCACATAAATTTCAATGACTTTCTCTTCCACTAAATTTGGATCTCTCTGATTGCCACCATCAAGAAATTCTTGTATTTCTCGAGAAGGTAAAGGTTTTAGTCGTATATAAACTCGAACATTACTTCCTGGTTCAACGGTAAGTGTTTTAAATAATTTAACTGACATTCTCGAAGTAGAAAATAAAATTTCTGTTGGATCATCATAATCAAGATTTGTTTGAAACTAGAAGGATATAATACATTTAATACATTTATCAATAGATGAACAAAAACAATAAAGAAACATACCGAAAATTCTAACGGTACGGTCTCCCTATTATAAATGACCATGCTACGCGAAGAATATTCTGAACCATAAAATAAATTCAGCATTTCTATTCGTGTTTGGCTAGTATCCACACCGTTCACGTAAATATCGAAGACATGATTGCTAGCTACTGGAGTATTGGCACCTCTCCTTAAATTTTGTCTAGCAACTACCTAAAATAAAATAAAAAATAAATAAAAATAAGTTATTATAAACCTTTATAAAAATTAATTAATCATATACTAAAAATAAATATTCTGCAAAATACCTCCATCATGACTCTGATAGTTTTGGTATCTGAAGGATTGTTCAAATTTTCGATTATCAAATATGTTGAATAAACATTTCGCATACTCGTCATAAAACTCAAAGTTATCGTATGTGCGTCAGTATATTGGCGATCAGTTGGTGCTTCTAATGTGCCTTCAGTCCGGCTTATATTTAACCAACTCTTATCACTAGCTGAAACAGTTTTAATTCGATATGATACTCTTTTTGAGGTGGTATTTTCAAGAGTCAATTTCTTTACTATAGAAGTTAATCCAAGGTCTTGTTGCCCTAAACTAAGTTCATAACAACCACCAATTTTTACAGCTTCTCCGATTCTTTTGCATCCACGTAACGTTATGAAAGGTAAATCAGAGGAAATATCCTGGTAAGAGTATTGCCTTTCTTGTGAAACGATCAAATTTTTATGACCTATTTCCATTGATTTTTCGGGTACTGAATCAGGAATTTCTTCAACTATACGAGGTTCACGAGCGACAGATTCAATACCAACAAGAACAATTTTATCATGACTAGATAAAGAATTGAGATCTATAATACAAATCTTAATATCTTCCGAAACCGCTATTGTAGAATCAACTAGTTCAATTTCTAAATTGAACGATTTCCCGGGTTCTATAGTTCCACATCCATTATCATCTATTGGAAAGACATTGATAATCTCTTTAGCGGAAAGTTCCATTGGGCCTTCGATGTGTACTTTGAAAGATAATGGAATTTTCTCTGACAAATTTTTTATTATAATGGATTCTCTTTGTGGTAAAACATCTTCAAAATCATTAGATGCTTCGATCAGTTGTTCATCTTGGTTCGAAGGAGATAATTTACGTCTCTGAGTCAGTGATGATTTACGTTTACTATTACTAACATCATTAGTAATTTCACCATCAGAAGAACATAATTCTGTCTTAAAGCGTATCTTCTTAGTTGAAACAGAAAACGTGGGAGACTCTGTAATTACGCCACGTATTGGTATATTCTCAGCCACTCTCTGCAGAATATCATCCTCATAACTTTGTTTTGTAGCCACCCAAAGTTTACCAAAAGTAACACCATCAGGATTAATGAGATACGAAGATTCACGAGGTATACGGCTGGTTTCTATTGGATAAGCACGAACTCTAACTTCGATTGAGCCGTGAGCGCTAATCGAAACACTACCAATTAATGGTGAATTTGAAAACCTTGAAAGTATATCAATTTTGATAAAATTAGAAATATAAGGAGCAAGTTCCACTCCAATTTCAAAGCGAATATCTTTTTCACTTATATTGTGAATTGTAAACCATGCGTCACAAGCAAAATCTGATCGAGGGAGAGGATGATAAAGAGAAGGCAATACAAGTTCACCTTTAATTAACCGATCAAATTTAAGCTCAAATAAAGTAAGCGTAGCTTGGATGTTCAAAGTCATTATATTGTAAGGATTATACATGTTTAGTACATTAACGGAAAATGTCCGTTCGCCCGCAGAGAAATTTTTAATCCTACGGGGCTTAAGAACTGCTGTTATGATCTGGTCAATAAGTGGTTCCACAGTGCGTTTCGAAGCAATCACGCCTTTGTTCTGAACATTTGAACCATCATCCATCACTCCTAATATTTCAATACAGTCGGGACTTTGTAATTCATAATGTAAAGGAATTTCTGATAAATTGCGCAAAATGAATTGAAATTCACTTCCTGCCCAAGAATTTGAATGTCCTAATTTTCCAAGATTTATCACGCTCGTGTTTAATTCGCCCTTTGGAACACAAAACTTTGCATTTAAATCTATTAATTTTACTGAAAGCTTTTGTATATCATCATTCAAGAGAAGTACACCTTGAATGCTCACTTTTTTTCCAACCTCAATAAACTTAAGTTCCTCGGAAGTTAACGAATTAGGCTGCGGGCAACTTATATAAAGATGAGCTTTTTTTCCAGGTTTCAATTCAATAAAAGGTCCACAGATATGAAACGGTGAATCAACGACATCTAATTTCTCATTATAGTCTTCAATAATTCTTGTATTTCCAAAGGGTCCCCATCTGATTTTAACATCCAAATCACTCCTTGGACTAATTTGCATAATGTCAGTTGATGATTTGTTACAAATCTCAACACAATGTTCATATAGCGGAACTGCTGTTGCCTGATATCCTTTTTGAATAACAGCTTTAAGATCTAATTTGCTTTCTAAATTGGAGTTTATCAATTTCGATTCGGATCCAACAACGATCGTAGTGGGAACATTCTCCCAAGAAAGTAGAGGCAATTTACCAAAATCTTTAAGGTTTTTAAGACCCATTGGTGCCTTCTCGGAAAAAATGTTTTTTGATATAGAGCTATCATCTTTAGTCGAAAAATCAAGTGAGTTGTTGTCAACAAACAAACGAACTTCTACTTCAACGATTTGAACTACATTATTTTTATTGGTAACTATAATTTTATCTCTGAAAAGTCCATACTTTGATGTTGTAACTCTAAAATTAATTAAAGCCATTGATTTATCAACCAAATTACTATCACGAGTGGAGGTGGTGTCAATATCTTCCTGACATTGTTTGAACTTAGATTCCCATCCGACAAGAGTTCCACACGTGCGATCTAATAAAATAGTTCCGTTTGGACATTCGACTGCGTAATCTAAAGGTAAACGACTGGACATATTACGAACAATAAAAGAACCATAGAACGTTTCACCAATAGAAGTAGTCGATCCAAGAGATATTAGCTTTTCTGATACCGACAATATAGAACGGCCTATCAAAGAAACGAACTTGACAGTTTGAGTGATAGCTTCAATCAATTCTGTATCATTTGAGTCTCCACTTTCATCAATATCATTATCAACTTTTCGTGTAAATGACGAACTTATGCTTTCTTTTACATGGACAATAAATTTGATGCCACCGATTAATTCGCGGCATTCACCATTAGAAATGTTTGTTCCATTTACTGAACCAACAGGTGTATTCCCTGTATTGACATTTCTTCTTCCTGTTGCTGGAACTACACTTAATAAATTTGGATGTAAAGCGATCCAAACTGTAGTCACTGATTTCTTTTTTAACAAAGTCTTGGAAACTTGTCCACGTGTTCCATTCTCATCAAGGAAGACGGAAACTTGCAATGATAAATTACTTTGACCCGTAATATAAACATCATCATCGGAAATATTTTCTACAATTAGTGGTGTTACTTGTGAATATTTCCGTCCAGGGTCAACATAGCAATAACCCAAATTTAGTTCAGATTGTCCATCATCAGCAAGCGATGGAAATCGTAAATATTGGGAATAATGTACGTAACCGCGAAGAGCAAAAGTACATTCGACTTTTGTTGCATTATTCCGGACTAGTAACTTGTGAGTTTGTCTTCCAACAACTGTGGCAACAACTGAAAAATCTATGCGACGAGTTTCTTGAGATGACAACGTTCCATGTATTTGACTTATTTGGAAAAATGATTTATCATCTTCCGAGACAATAATTTCGAAATTTAATGGATGATCACCTCGATTGGACAATTTAAAGTAATAGTTATGACGTTGATTAACCTCAAGTCTTCCTATATCTAATATAGCTGGTTCCAAATTCAAATGATCAGTTACGGGTACGTGCTCCACGTGTTCGGGTGATTCTGAACGGGGGAACCCAAATTGTGTAAGTTCTATTATAGGTGATTTATCAACACTTTTTGGAGTAATATCGGATCCTTTTTGTGATTGAGAACCAATTAAATAAGATAATTTGCGTAATGAAGACGGTGTAAAAAACTTAATATTCTCTACGGTGTCCGAAACTACACTCGATGACTCGGGTGCCGGGCTTGACAAGCTTGATTCCGACTTGTATTCATTACTAAATGTTTCATCTGATGATGTCTGTATGTAACTAGAATAATCATAGAAAACCGTAGCTTTAAAAACCACGGTTTTAGTAATATCTGTATTTTTATGCTCATGAACATAAATTCGACTAACGATGTTTTCTTGGGAAGGTCTAGCATTTTCCCCTTCTATTTGGAGCGAATCGTTATTGATTGCAACGGCTTTAAAATAAATATAAATAGTTTTTGATGTACGTGGTTCCATAGGAAATATAATTGAAGTTTGGGTTTTTTTGTATTTGGGACCTTCCTTTCCATTTATTAAATTAGGTGAAATAGGTGAAATCAAAGGACGCTTATTAGATTGATCGGAATTTTTTTCAACTGTTAAAGCTGGTCTACTAAGCATAAGACGTTCACTATTCGTTCCGTTAACATAGGAATCTTCAAGTGGAGTCCGTTGTCCGTCGCTATGAATATCTGATTTTTCATCCTTAATAATAAGCTCATTATTATTGTTATTATTACCTAGAGAAATGTCTTTCACTAAGTCACCATCGTCGTCATCTTTTCCTGTATCACCACGTCGTAACTTTGCTAATTTTTTTTCTAATTTTTTCACCTTCTCTTCTCGCCCTTTGCGTTTTGCAATTTTTACTTTTTGTTCAAGGTTTTCGATTTCTTCCTCTGTCTCTTTACTTAGCAGACCTCCATTTATTGAAGATCCATCAGTGTCCTCTTGAAGTACAAAGCTCAGCTCACCATAACACCATTTAAATTTAAGATCTTGTGGGTCAATGTGAACTTCAAACATACGAGATAATTTGTTAGTATTACTAATTGTGATATGCCGAACTCGTGGTGCATTGTCATTAATAAAACAAGGTTCAAAATTTAAATTCAACGGATGAATAAGAAAATTAGATTGCTTTTTTATGATAGCTTTAACCGAAAGCACTTGATCATTATCTCTATCTTGAATGTTTTCGATTTCTAATTTTTCAAGAAATTGTCCAGGAAGACTAGGATTAAATGTGAATTCGACTTCTTTTTTGCCATATCCACGGACAACTCCCATATGTCCAGCACTAAACATAATGTCACCTGAAGAAATTAATCCTGATTTTCGAATGTTGTATAATAATGGTACTTCGCTTCGGTTTTGAATGAGGATTTTTTTGCTTCGACGTTCATTTTTATCCATGATTCCAAAATTGATATTCTTTTGACCTAAATCCATAATCGAACGACACATAGTCGTATTAACCATAAGTTCTCTGACAGGAATATGACTTTGGTCACCTTGTAGTAAAGCTTCAAATTGTGGCTGTTGAATTTCTCTATCAAAATCAATGAGGCGAATGAAGACTCTAGCATCACATTTCTTTGGTAATCCTTGAATCATTCTTCTTAAATGTCGCTTTGGAGTAAAGACAACTATTATTTGTCTTTCTCCCTTAGGTGGAATTTCTATCGTTTTAATAGGAACAATTTGATGATCTCTCATACGATTTTGCAATTCACGCAAAAGAGCCATCTGTTGGCGAACATAAGAAACTTCAGCAGAAGCCTTTGGGAATAATAATTGTGAATTACCATTATTGTTATTTTCTAGTATAGCAATAAGAGATTCTATTGGCATACTTGATAAAGTTTCTTTATTATGTATCTTGGCTTTCTCATTTCTTACTGAAATATTTATTGAACTACTATTTTGATTTTTTTGTGATTTTTCACGAGATGAATCGTTCATATTACTTTCGCCTGAATCAATAACTCTTTTAAATATTCCAGTAGTGTTCTTTAAAGTACCAGTATTACTTGTACTTCCAGGTTCTAAACTTTCTTTTACCCTTCCAATTTTAGCAAACCCAGACATTTTATTCAGCGCGATCTTTAATGGACGTTTCCTTGGGGATCGTAAGGATGAGGGACTTGCTAAATCAAGGTATGCTGCACTTGATAAGGAAGAATCTGATGATGCACTATCTGATAAAACAGACGAGCTATATCGTTTATTTGCCAGACTTTTTTGATTGTCCTCATTCGACATCGTTGAACTTGCTGTTGATAGATTACTCGCATTTAAATTTGTTTTATTAATGTCAATAGAAGGTTGTTTCCTTAATATTCGCTTATTTCCAATAGTTTCTAAAAGTTTTTCGCGCCTCTCAAGTTTAGAGGAACTGCTTTGTTCATTATCTCCACTATCAGTAATATGAACCCCAGTACTTTGAGAGACTAAATTCTGATCTCCTGAACTAATCGCATCATCGATTTTCATACGCTTTTGATACATAACTATCTCTTCAGATAATGAAGAAGTTATCTCAAGGGTCAAGTTCTTTGCACTAAAATTATCAATTGTAAATGTTCGAATGCTCGGAGAATTTATCACAGTAGGTCCAAAATCAATAAAATTACTCCCGGTTGAAGTCAAAATTCGATAAAATAACGAATGAAAAGTGACGCCATTTTTGTCAATATTTGTACTTCTAACTTCTATGATTTGATCGTTATCGCGGTTTTGCAAATTGACAACAGTAATTTGCTTTCGATAATCAACATTAACCTTTCTTGGATACATATCGAGTTTGACTTTAGTTGATAATTTTGGTGGAATAACAATTTCATCATGAGTGCAATTAAGCACTTTTGAAACAAACTGTAATTCTACACGGGCTGTCAATTCAGATAAGTTAGTAATTACGATAGGCACCGATTTTAACGTACCGACATCTGTATCTCCAAAATTCACTTCTTTAGGATTTACTTCAATAAAAGAAGTACAACTCCTAGCTCTACATTGAATAATTTTACGCTCATGTCCACCCGATCTCATACTTGTTGAACTTGAATTAACCGACATATATTGCAGAATAATTCGAAAGTTTCTTCGTGTTAATTGTCCAGCTTTAAAATCATTAGCGGATGAGTCTTTTTCCGGACGATAGGAAACTTGAACTGTCTTCTCTCTTCCAGGTCCAAAAATTACTTCTTCAATTTGAGTTATCCCATCTGACATTTCTTTTTCCAAATTTTCTCTCTCTAAAGTATTCTTAATCCTTCCAGAAATATTATCTCTCTCAATATCTGAACCTCCGATGTTATTGAATCGAAGTTTGTTTACCGATCTTGACGATTGCGACTCATTTATATAAGATAATCTTTCTACGGGAGATGGAGACTGTAAACCAATTATACTACCAGAGTCAGATACCTCATCTGTAGCGTTCGTGTTAATAGGAGTATTAGTTATCGTAACATTTGAAACATCTTATGAAGATGGCGTAAAGAAGTTATGTCTCCGGCATAACGATCATTACCTTTTAGGTCTACTTTACTATTCTCTATCAAATTATCTGTTTTCAAATGGAACAATACCTCTGCATTCTCAGCTGAAAAATGAATTTCTAAAGGTACTTCACTGACATTTTTTAGAATTAACTGTTGTTTACTCCAAACTCCCGCACAGCAATCTCCAAAATCCAGGATATTACCACTACTAACGACCAATGATTCTTCTCTTAAAACTGATCTTACAACTGCATTAATTCTGCTTTGTAAAGTATTGGCGGAATCGTTGGCATTCTCAAGCTGTAGATCATAGCTAAATTCTCCTATTTCTTTAGGCTTAAATGTTACTCTAATTCTTCTATGGGAATAACTAGGTATTGGCTTATCATCGAGTAATTCACCAGTATCATAGTCTGTAAATTTTAACCAATCTTCACGTTCAGAATTCGATAAATCTACCGTATTCAAAAGCCAATATAATTCAATTTCAGAACGATTCCATATGGTAAAATCTTTGAAATAAGTACCCCCATTTACACAATCATCAAAATTAATTCCAGTTTCTCCAACGTCCGTCCATAATACTGAACGACAAACTGTAGAACGAAATTTAACAGTAATTTGATAATCTGCTTTAGAAGAGCTACCTATCGTTTCAATATCACGAGGAACGTTATCAATTTCAGACTTAAATGTCTTGTTAACTAAAAAATTTAATATAAAAGGAAATAAATAAACTTTTCATTAGCTTTGTATTTTAATATAATTGATGATAAAACTTTAAAAACGTTAGATCGATTGAACCTTGATCGGTTTCATATGTCGAGACCAGGAAGGCAGATGACTTCTTCTTATAGGTTCCCGTGACATTAGCCTTAGGAAAATTTGATATTTCCATGCTTTCAACATTTTGTTGCTTTTCGATAACATATGCAAAGAAGAATAATAGCCCATTGACTTCAAAAAAATCATGAGTTTCTTCATCTTCTGATGATTGTGTGAAAATATTAGTATTTATTCTAGTTTCATCAGTCTCATCAGGAATTGAAGAAGGCTTATTTAGGTCTTCCACAGATCTACGATTTTTATGGTGAGCATCTGGTAAAAAGGCCAATATCACTTTTTGTGAACTTCCAGGTGAAATAATTACTTCGTCTATATGATTTACATAATTGAAAAGTTGGTTGAATTCATGTCCATTCACGCTATCACCGAATGCGCCAACTGCAGCAGCAGCGACAGTGTTCGTTGCAATATTAATTAAGGAGTTATCTAATGAAACATGATACAAAATGCTGCTATTTCCTTCTGATGTAGAAGTTGAACCAAGTTCAGACGAAGCTACCATTTCTGCTTTTTTAGAAGTCAAATCAGGAAGATTTTCATTTGTAAGTTGAAACGCTATCTGTGAACCAAGATTAGAACGCAATTTCACTAGTATTGTAGATTGTGATATATTGCGAACTTCAAAACGTCTAAGTGAATGAAGACCATTTAGATAAACTTTTTCTATTACAAGACGGTTAGGAATATTCATAAGTTCGAACAACGGTGAAGTTGTATTATTGTATTGAGGGAGCGAATTAGAACGTGAAGTATTACCTCCACTCATTTTTTGAGATAGCTGATTATTAGACATTAGATCTGTTAATATTTTCAAAGTTTCAAAAGAAACAGTAAAACCTTTTTTTTTGTTTTTGTTTTTGTTTTTGCTAACAGGCTTACTTATCAAAGAGGAATATGCTAATGGAAACGAGCGTATGCTCCAAAAATGCTAACTGTGTATATAACGAAACTGCATTCTTTTACGCCTGATTTTCATGAGAACATTGACGTTCTCTTATTTGATATTTAAATTCTCTCTTTATTTGTTAGAAAAAAAAATTTTTTTTTTGATATTTTGAGCTTTTTTTTATGCATACAAGGCCATGTCTTGTCGATCATTGTAGTGCGGGCAATGTTCTACAGAACTTTAAAATCGGAATTTTTGTTAGTTAACTAATATTTATCATCGAGCCGCGGGGTAACGAATCATCCATAATTATAATAAACATTTTTTTTTAAGAATACTTTCTTTGGTTTCTTTCAGACAGCAAGCGTTGTGCAACTTAATGATGTCTCAAATATTGTGGGATCCTTCACCTCCACTTCTTCCACCTCCACCTTCTACCATCTCCCTTCCTTTACCTTCATCGGAGGCGATACAAATCAAATTGATAATTCAATCACGTGATTTTCAAAATTATAACTAATTTAATTAGAATAAAAGTCTATAAATCAAGATTAGATATAATAAAAAAAATTTTGAAAAAAAGATTTTTTTACAAATACTTTTACATATTCTAATATATTCATATTATTTTCGGCTGCATTTTTACTATTATCTTTAATGATTTTTTATTTATCTGATTTTTTGTAAAAGTATTGATATATTCTTTAACTTAAAGATACTTTGAATATATTAAACATTTAAATTAACATCTTTGTAAATAATAGTTGTAGTAATCATGTTCATATGTCAAAATAATATTATCAATTAAAAAGTAAATATAAAAAATAATATTATTAGATTTTTAAAAGTAACAAAGCTCTATAAAAGGTAATAATTAAATACTTTATAATTTAAAGAAATAAGTTATATATATTAATATTATCAAATAAAAATTTAATAATTAAAGAATATATATAATCAACTTTCTATAAATGCATTTTCCTTAGGATTAGATATAAGGATATACTTAAAGAAGTAGTGTATCTAATAGAATATATATAAATTTATATAATATTAATTTAAAATTAAGGTAATGCAAAAAATTTATAAGTAAACTTTATAAAATTTTTTATAAAGAGTGTATTTATAGAGAATATATATATATAAAAAATATGCATTTAGCATTTAGGTCCAAATTGGAATCAAATAAAAAAGTGCATTTATAAACGATATGCATTTATAAAGAATGTATTTATAAAGAATGCATTTATAGAGAGTTGACTGTATAATATATTTAATATTTTTATATAAATATATTTAAAAACTATATAATATACTTTTAAATAAAAAATACAAATATTTTTAGTAGAAAGTTAATATTATATTTGAATTTATTTTACTAAAAAAACATATTTAACTTAAAAAATAAAAAATTATTTTGAATAATTTCTTTCATTTTTTATTATAAAATGTCTAGAATTCCTAATGAGTTAAGTTAAATTCAATTATAAGTTAAAATTTTTAATTTTAAAATATTATTTATTAATTTAGACTATACTTAAACAAAAATTTATAATTATGTGAATCAAAATGTAAAATAATATGCAAAGATTTAAAATTATTTATATTCAATTACTTTAGTATATATAATATTTAACAACATTTATAAAATATTATTAAAATATATTATTATCTCATTACTAAATATGAAATATGTTTTTTCTATAATTATTAAATTGTAAAAAATTTAGCAATATATCTTTATATAATACTATTAATGTTTTGATAAACAATCATTTAAAAAATTAAAGTTATTCATAAGGGCACTGTTAAAAATTACCTAATATTGTATTACTATAAGCGTCTACCCCTCCTTCTCTTAGGTAATATATGCCGTAGAATCACATGATATAATTTTATATATCGTATATATCGATAATATAATGATCAAAAAAACTGATATAATTTATTATAGTTTATATAGTGATAGATAAAAAATTGATTATAATATAAAATCTAAATCTAATACTTAAATTTAAAACTCAATTTATTATAGTTGATAAAAAATTGATTGTATAGTATAAAGTCTAAATTTAAAATTAAAGAAAATTTATTTTAAAAAAAAGGAAAGAATTAAAAAAAATTAATGTTTGCAATGATCCTTTTCAAAAATTAGCTCAATTTATTTAAAATTCACGAAACTTTGATATACTTATTTCGCATTTACGTTTGCTAATAATATATTAATATTTTGTCTCAAATATTAAAAAATGAGTCGCCAAACATTTTTTCTTAGTCCTAAATTTAATAAAAAACCAATATATAATTCACCGGCTAATAAATATCAGGAGTTTACAAATGCTTATGTGTATAGTGTTATGGTAAAAACAAGTAACTATACTTTCAACTGTGCTGTTATTTGTTAAGAGATTATAAACGAGTGGAATAAAATAAAGAAAAAGAGCGTTGATGATATTGATGGTGTAATTTAGAACTATATGGTTACATCACTTAATCTATATGACATATAGTCAATGAGATATAAACATTTTACACCTTCGAAAAAATTGAATCCTTTTTCTCCCTCTCCTTCTACCATTCATTCAATACCAGAAATTCTCACCAATTCTTTGGCTCAAAGAAGGACAGTAGATGCAATCAAAATAGTTGAAAAAAATTTACGAATTTGAGCAGATTTACAATATTACGAGTGATGCTCAGATTCGTGATCAAATGTACCAAAAAATAGAAAACTTGCAGAATGAAGTCAAATCTAACAAAAATAAAATTGACAAGTTAAAAAAAAATGTCAAATATGCCCAAAATTGTAAAAAAAAAAAATTGAGACAACTTATTGAAAATAAAGAGATTGTCCACTATGATAAACCTGGAAGGCTACCGCTTCTCTTCAAGCATCCAGATTTGCATGAACAAATACATGATTACGTAGAATTTGAATCAGCTGATATAAAATGATGAAAGGAGGCTATCAAAATTCAGACAATAGAAAATTTGCGTAAAAATCTTGAAGAAAGGTACGAAATTTACATGGCGAGGACTACATTGAAAAGTTACCTTTTACCTTATCAGTCAAACTCGATCGCTGCAAAAGCTCATCATCATTCAGCGTGAGTCATGATCGCTAGAATTTCACGTATAAAAATACATGAGTATCCTAACAGCCATTATTACCTTACATCGGTAAAATGTGCAAAGCAATTCGCTAGCATTTTTGCTGATATATCAGTTATTTCCAAAGACGATAAGGTGAAGATCAGGTTTGGAGTACCTGCAATAGGTCACACATTCCATACATTACAATCTGTTAATGAATCCGCAACTGTAGCAGACTATAATTTTCTTATGGAATCTGAACAAAAATTAATTCCATCAATATATTTGATGATAAATATAAATAAATCTAATGATGAATTATGAATAGGAACATTAGCAATTTTTATACGTCCCCAATAGTCTTTTGGTATATCTTCGCTTATGCATATACAAGATCTGAAAAGTCTTATTTCGAATCTTCAATATAATAATGTGCTGAAAATGAATGGAACAATTCGACCAATATGGATTTTATTGATGAACAGAGGGTCAGACAAGAATCTCAGATATTTAAAAAATATAAAATCCTATTGTCAACTTTTTAAAAAGTTTGATTTAGATTTTTTAAGCGTACAAATCCATGCATCTGATCAATCAAAGTACAATCTAGTTGAGAGAGATATAGCAACATTGTCTAGTAAACTCACTGATATTACTTTGTTAATTGACCATTTTGATGTGCATTTAAATTTATAAGATAAAGTTATAAATCCAGAATTAGCCACTCAAAATTTTTGCTATTCAGGAGAAGCTCTTTGTAAAATTTGGCATCGTGATTTAATTTTTGGGAAGAAGGTTGATGCTTGTTATATCGATATACTCACAAATCTATTTGAACATATATAATTCGAGGGAACGGAAAGAGAAAAGGTTGAAAAATTAAAAAGGAGGAAAAAAGAACAAAAAAAATCAAATAATACAAATGAAGAAATAACATATACCTATTCTGAATATTTTGTATCATGGTCCTGAATTGAAACTCACTGTAATTTGTATACCTATTTTTTTGATATTAAACGATGCATGAATACCAGTTTCTGTAGATCACCCAGAGCTGAAGAAGTCATGAATTTTCTTCAACTGCATAATGGCTTCTTACTACCAGTTACTAAAATTAAAGATAGGCAATTCACAAACCTGATTCACCTTCTTCAGTATGGAGATCTTTTAAAAGTATCAAGTTATAATGCCCATTATGCGTCTATTAAAAAAAATACGTATTTACGACTTTGCTGTCCTATTTATCAAAAATATTTTTTCACTCTCACATTCTTAATAAATCATAAATGATTAATACATCCTACTACCCGAGGATGACCTAAGAAACAGAAAAACTTATCTTTCAATGATCTTTCTCTCCTTCCATCTCAACAAAAGAGGTCATATGATGAAATGAAATTTGAACTAAGGGCTTGTAATTCAGATGAAGAATAAATAAATTTATATGCATATATATGTGTATATACTTTATCAATCTATAAAATAAATGTATAATTAATAAATTTTGCTAAGCCACTTTTATTAAATTATTATCATATGACCATATTATTATGTGTAATCTAAAATTTTCATTATCCCCTCACCCCCTAAAATATTAGATAATTTCTGACAGTACCCTAATCATATTAATTAATAAAAGAAAATCACTTTAGAAATATATATAAGTTTTTTTATAAGTAAGCTAATCACCTTTTTAATGATATATTATATAAATATCAAAAACTAAAAAACTAAATTATTTAATAAATTTGTTAAATAAAAAAATTTAACCAGTAGAAATGATAAAG